AAAAAGACGACCCGACGTTTGTGGCCGTATCTCGCGTCATAGTTAACCGATTTGATCGCGATGACTCTTAAATTAAAGGTTAATGGAGTCTGGATCACATAGAATTTTTTGGATTTTGTAAACTAGTGTTATATACTACCTACTTGTTTAAGTGTAACATAACAACTGCATCCATATTCAATGGATTACATAGGGATCAGACAGTTAAGAGATGAAGTCATTTATTTCAAATGTTATTAATTCATATGTTACTGAAATTTTTTGCCGAAAATTGTTACACATATCAAATTACAGACCAAAGGGAAAAATGCGTAGTTTTCCAGTGAGAAATTAATGGGTCGATGTTTTTTATAGAGGTGAGCTTGTTTATAGATTGTGAGCTTCTACAGGTGATGTAAAATACACGGGCGAAATGTTATTTCTGAATTTCAAAGGTGATAGGAGTAGTAATTGCGCAAGAAGTGGCCAATTAAGAATTTGCATCGTTCGTCCAACTAATTGCACCAAACGTATTTTACGCGTGTTTCGCCTGTATATTCAACAATTAATAACTTGGAAACGTTCGTCCAACTAATTGCACCAAACGTATTTTACGCGTGTTTCGCCTGTATATTCAACAATTAATAGTGTAAAACAATAAAAAGCGTGGAACGCAATTTCGTCAGTCTTTATTTTCGACTTTGTTAGTCTATCATGTAGAATCCACTCTATGAGAGTGTCCCACATTCTTATTACTACCCTCTATAAAGCTAACAGTCACCAAAATTTTACTGAATTTATTGTAGTTCAATTTTTTGATTTCCCAACATTTCTTCAGAAACACATTTTATATTAATAAATGAGCGAATATTTACTAAACAAAAATTACAGAATATTCTTTTGTAAAAAATTACAGAATATTCTTTTGTAAAAAACCAATATGATTTTATTGGTATTTAAAGTTAATAAACTTTCATGAACATATTACATAGAGAGCATTATATAAGAATCTTAAACATCGCTCGTGGCCAATTGGATAGAAACAATAATGGCCGCCCGGCGACAGAATGTTAAAATAAAATTATGAATGTTAAATGAAAATTAAAACTCTATGAAGCTAACAGTCACCAAAATTTTACTGAATTTATTGTAGTTCAATTTTTATGATTTTTCAACATTTCTTCAGAAACACCCGACGACAGAATGTTAAAATAAAATTGTGAATGTTAAATGAAAATTAAAACTCTATGAAGCTAACAGTCACCAAAATTTTACTGAATTTATTGTAGTTCAATTTTTGGATTTTTCAACATTTCTTCAGAAACACATTTTATATTAATAAATGGGCGAATATTTACTAAACAAAAATTACAGAATATTCGTTTGTAAAAACTTGTTATAGATTTTAATTGACTATAGAATGTTTAGAAGAATATTCACCTTAATGTAACTATCTCATTGTTATTCAAAATTTTAGGTGGCATTAATAGCCTGTTATTGAACTTGGTACTTACAGCAATACGATACCTTCGAATGGACTAAAAGAATCGCGAACAGCGCGTACAGCTTCCGCAGGTTTAACAAACAGCTACAATCCATCGCAGAGTACACGAACACCATTTCTACGCATATAGCCGCGCGAACCAAACATCCCGTCCATTTATATGATGCACCTGAATCATGTCCATAATTTTTGTCGCAACGATGGCCTTAAACTTGTGAAAAATGTCGGCTGTTTAATTGCGGCTCGTTATCGGTTTGTACTTCCGGGTACCCACTATTTTTTAACAATACTGTAAGAGTTATCGTTCGGCCATGTTCCGTAGACATTACCCAAATTACACGACGTCGAGGATATCGGTAGATATACGACATCATAATAGTATAATCTACAGTGAGTGTAAAAAGTATTCGTACACCCTTTAAAACGGAACAACTCTTTTAAAATTGGTCCAAATGACTTGAGTTTAACATAAATCTTCGATATGTATTTATTAAATTTTCATTATAGCCTCAGATTAAAAAGTTGTAAAACACGACCTTTAATATTTTCTTCGCGATTCGAACCAATTGCAACTTTTTCAAATTTTTGTTCTCACATCATTTAGTAAATCAATGTCTCTAACTTCACAAAAAAATTCATGTCATTTAGACCAATTTTAAAAGAGTTGTTCCGTTTTAAAGGGTGTACGAATACTTTTTACACCCACTGTATATACTATATGATACAATATTTAAACCACGCCGGAAAGTGTAATGTTTTTCACAATGAAAAATGTAATAGTAGAGGAATTTATAAAAGATTTGTATAACTCCAAATTATTCAAATTAAAAATGGCGATAATTTGACGGATGTACAACAATATGATACGATCCTAAATGAATGTTTAGATTTTCATCATTCTGTTCAGTGGACATAAATTGACTGGCTGTTTAACCACGATTATTTTCCAGGCGTTAACCCACCAATGGGGGGGGGGGGGAGGGTGGCGTTGAACCCGTTAAGTGCATACCTCCTTTGTTACGCCAGCGCGCCGAGGCGACTTCCCATGTACGAGCCAATAGCAGAACGTTGGGAGCCCAAAAAAAGATTAGGTGAAACTGTAGAAAAACTACCCTAGTAGCATTTATGATTGGCAAACGGTGGCCAACAGTTCGCAGTTAGTTAGGATATAGTTAGTGTTTTTGCCTACAAATTCCCGAAATAGGGCCAACGACGAAAAAGTTATGACAATTTTCCAACGAATATCCAATGTTGGGACTACAATTATTATAGTTGGTTAATTAACAAGAAATTTACAACCAGAATACAACATTGGCCGACCCAAAATATGGCAACATTTAAATATTGTCTTAAAAACGTCAGAAACGCAAGGTATTTGATTAAAGTTATAGTTGTAATTATAGTTTGTAAGTTCTCTTTCAAAAACTTCCATTCTATGGCACACCAATGAGCTACTAAACGTGATAAAGTTTAATCAATTGCAGGGTTGCTATTATGTCCGGTAAATCTCGAATGCGTTCTAAACTAATTTTAACAATTACAAATTGGATCTAGCCGGGTATACATGGAAAAACGGCCCCAGCACCAATTTTAGTATTTATGTTTGCCACATAATGCTCTTTGCCTAAAGAAAACTGTGAATAATTTCAAATCTCTATCCCCTCTCGTAAGGGTGATATGGGGATAGCAACCCTAAACTTTACCATTTTTTTTTCTCAACAAGTAGTTAAGATATTTGAATGCTTCAAAATGCAGATAGTAGGTAATTGCTAGCTCTAAAACATATATTTTTTCGAAATTGTAAATCATTTATTAAGGGTAGAAATAAAGGCATTCATTTTTTCGGGTTGTTTTTGCAAACATCCCTTCAAGTGACACCTATCAAAAAAATCATAAATAATGCGTCATTATTTAATTTATTATCTGTATAAGTTGATCGAACATATTTAAAAAAGACAAACCAATATAATAGCTCTCACAGATTATACTAAAGGGGCCGCATGATCAATTGGAAGGTCGAAAAATAGTGCATGTTTGGGAATTTTTTTTAGGCAAACCTAGAAAACTGTATTGATAAATGTCATTACGTTGTAAAAATTACGTATTCATTAAGTTTCAGCAATTTTTTATCTAACAATAATACATAATATTCACGAAGCGCATTTTTCGTGAAACGCTTTGCGTGACTGCCGCTATTTGAAAATGAATCATTTGAAATAAAAAATTCGAAAAGTTTTACATAGATAGTATGTTAAAGGAGAAGAACTCGTTTAAAGTTTGACGCGTCGTTTTCACTTTAATGAAAAAATAATTCTTAACTTACATGTTATCGATTCTTGGTTTTCGAGTCTTTTCATTTAATCTTCTTCGTTATTATTTACCTATTATTTACAATAATTCACATTCCAAGCGTCTTTCAAAATGTATATTCAATGTCCTACCCGTCGATGGTACGCCACAGCGCGATCGTACTCATATGCAATCAGACGGCTATCGGATACCGATAAAAGAAAACATGGTATTCTCTTTAAAATAATTATGTTAACCTTCGTATTTAAGTAATGTCTGTGAATATAAATAAAGTATTGTAGTGGTAGGAATCATCGGGCAAGCGCGATGATTCGTGTGTGTGCTGGATGCGTGCGACAAAGAAACAAAAGACGGTGCGAGAGCCGCCGAAAAATGCGGCGCGTGGTCGACGAAGCAGAGAATGACTACGACGGTCTGAGAGAAGACACACGGTGACGACGATCCGTCAATATAATGCACGACGCACGATTATATTTTTCCCATTGTTACATTTTACATCTTTTAAATAAATCATACTTTTATTAGTTCAACCTTACAGTATCATTACTAGTTGCTAATCCCCGATAAAAATGTGCATCTTTCGTAAGAAACATTTTTATTAGATTTGAAATATTTCAGGCGATAAGATGCAGCGAAACACCCTGTATATGTTACATACGTATACTGTAATTGTAAGAAAATTTTTTTAAATCTTTTTCAATTCTCATCTTCAATGAGCCCACGTGTTAATTACTCGTAAAGCAGTTATTTAATTAACTATCTTCTTATGAACCTTACCTTTATAAATACATAAGAACCGAATATCTATAAGAAAATTGTTTCCGTGCTTCAGTTTCGCTTTATGTAAGATATATTATATTTATTCAATATTTATTATCTTTGGTTACTTACAGTTAGTGAAATTTGACTCGTCAATTGAAGTATTTTTCTCAATACCATTAAAATCACATTAAACCGAATGAAATTTCACGAACTTCACTGCATAAAGCAGTGATGGGCAATCGAGCCCGCTCGGGCATGTTGCCCGCACGGGCAAGTGGCGGGCAGCCGCGGGCTCCTGTGAAAGTGACGCGAGGCTTAAATATGAATGAATGAAGTATAACTCACTAAATAATATACTTAATGCGATACTTTTATTTCTATAACTAATTTACAAGAAATTACAAATTTCTCCCAAAGCCGAATGGCAAGGGATAGTGCAAGCAATAATAATAAATTACAAATTTATTATTTCCACTCTTGGTAAAATCGTAAGATGACAGACGTGACACACTTTATTTGTTTAATAACGTACTAAGCAAATAATTTCGTTGAGTTAAGACAACAGAAACGTTATCACAGAGACGGATATCTGAAACCGTAAAAATCGTTCAACGTATTTAATGGTGGTTTCCAATTGCTGCACTTCGGGAAACCTGGCGGTTTCGGCGGAAGATCGTATTGTTCACCTACACGGATAACCAACTCCATACCAGTGATATGGTGCCACGTAAAGTGACAATGAAGTAGCCACCATCCTAGAAAAATACATTTCCTATTTTTAGAGACTCTATTTACCATGTAACAATTGAAGAACATTATCTTTCTATGAATTCATATCATCCAAAAGTAGGGTTAGATTCCCTTCTTTTGCTATGAATTCATATTACTGTCCAAAAGTTTAAGGTCGCTAGGAATCGCAAGGAATTCTATTGAAAATATTCATGAATTTTCACAATACAAATTTTAGGTTGAATCACTATCTTCCTTATATACAGTAAAGTCGCTTTAACTGCGCGCGAAGATCTCTACATTAACTGCCCGCGCGTCATCCCTACCACTGGGAGGATCCTTTCTAAAACCAGTCAAACGAATAATGTAACACGACTGCGGGTTCTCTCGAGAACTGAACATTAGGAGCCCAAAAAATATTAAATGCCCGCGTATCGGTGAGAGAACATAATGCAACGATGAAACTTTTTTATTTTTGGTTCCTTAACGCTTTTATTCATATTTAATTGGTGAGATTTTCCGGATTAAATTAATACCGAACATGGTATAATTTGAAGCGACTTTACTGAACATATAATGTACTTCTACAGTGGCGAAAAGAAGTTAATTATACCGAAGACTTCCTCTGTCGAATAGTTCTTAAGTAGCTGGGTTGAACGAAACATGCTTTATAATAAAAGGCTAAAGCACAGATTTAAATATGTATTCTATAGATAATTCAAGTATCGTTCTGAAGTACATTGCACTTTCACGATTTTAAAAAATATACCTCAAACTTTTGTACATCTCTTTATATTTCTAGAGGACAGCTTTGAATCTTTGTCTACAATGATTACGAATTAATCAAATATTTTACCTGGATTATTAGCCCTAAACCGTACAATCGCGTATCCGCCTTCCGGAATTTTGACGGTGTCTTTTCCAGGTGGATTTCTGTACTGTCCCCGTCGAAGACGTTCTGTGTGTTCCCTGATCACGTCGTTTACCTCCTTGCTCGTAATATTTCTATTGCGTGGAAAAATACCAACGGTGAGTAGGCTGAATTCGCCACCGTGTAAGTGGAACGGATGATCCAGGCCAGCCAATGGTTCTGAAATATAATTTATAATTAAGGAAATGTACGAACTGTTCGGGTGTTTCCGGAAATATTTAGCACTTCGTGACATCCTTCTCTAGATAGTCGAATGTCCTACGTTCATTTTGAACATCCCTAGGATGTTCGTAAGACTTAAATTTCGGACATCTAGAAACGTCCGTCCCGAAAATCCTACGGATGTTCTCAAGACTAAAATTTCACATGTTCTAGAAATTCCCGTTTCTTAAGTCTTACAAATGTTCGTAGGATTTAAATTACGGATGGATTCGACTGGGGCAAATGACGCTTATTTCAATCCCCAGGAGGAGTCGAGCCCTATAAATTATAACCGTTATTTTTCTCTAAAATAATTTAACATCTGGGTAACATTCCTTCTTGACCCCTTGTCCTATCCGCTAACTCCCGATTGCTCGGGCCACAATAAACAAGAAGGTCGGTCACGTGTCGAGTCATTTAGCTGTTTAGCCGAATTTTCCCGAATTGTTTTTGGCCCAAATTTCTTACCACTTATTAGCTCATTTTTCTCTACCAGGCTACGCGTATTTTCGTGCATTAATAGTAAAAGAAAAGTAATTACGTGGATCATAAAGTACGAATTCCTGTATGCTGCCAAGATCAGCGTGGATCACTTGTGTGCAAGAACAAGGTTCGTTGCAGGTGCTAAGTTCATTCGGCCTGCATATAGTTTGGTAACTTCGTCTGTCCGAGATCAATGACGAGGCCGGCGACTCGAACGAAATGTTGTTGAACGTTGAGATCAGCTGAGATCTATCAGGTGCGACTGACAAAGATAAAATTTTCTCAATATATTTACAATAATAATAATATTAATAATAATAATTCGCAGGTTTTCATAAGACCATTATAAAATAAGTAAAAATAATAGTAACATGAAATTAAAAAAAGTATACAAAAGTAATGATATTTAAAAAAATGTTGTTACGAAGAAAGTGTGTACAAAGACATTCTTGTATTAAGAAAATTGCTCGCTTTAACGGGTTCAGAGAAAAATCGAAAAATATTTTTTTCCGTGATTCGGTAGGAGTATTGCATAGTATATAATTATATTATAATGAGGGGTATAAGTATTAGTCGATCAAAAAAGTCTCCATACAACCTTTAAAACAGAACAACTTTTTTAAAATAGGACCAAGTAACTTGAGCTCTTTTGTGAACTTAGAAGGATTAATCTATTAAATGATATGTCTTTTTTAAACAATTTTTTTCAAAATTTGTTTACACATCATTTAGTAAACCAATCCTTCGAACGTCACAAAAAAACTCAAGTCACATGGTCCAATTTTTAAAAAACTGTTGTATTCTAAAACGTTTATGGAGATTTTTTTACTGACTCTATATAATTTTCCACAAGGAATAATCTACAACACTACGAGACTCTTGCACTTATGAAGACTTGTGTAGATTTGCAAACGTATTCGTAAACTGATGTCTTTTTTACATTACTAAAAGGTTAGTTTCATCTCGATACATTGTCTAATCAATCCCAAAAACTCCAATTATCTTTTATCAGTTCTGTAAAAAAGAACTTTAAAAAGTGCCTATTTTTTTAGACTTTAAACAGAGCAACCCTCTGAAGGAGAAGTAGCATGAATAGGTACCAAAGAAAGTGGGGTAGGTATCCGCTTCGAAGAGCAGGTTAGTGCCATATTGGTTGTAATTGAAGAACCAAAATGGCAGTAAATGACGGGCATCCGGTTCGACCGCCAACAAATCCGATTTGTCCTCCAAACTCTCCAACTGATTCACGCAAACAACGGATCCTGTGTTGTTTGTGTTACAGTTTGTTGCATCCAGCCCGTTGTATATCTAGTGAATGTACAAATTTTCAATTAAATACCGCAAGTAAAACATACTATTTGTACTGATACATAACTCGAGAAAAAATAAACCATGCCAAAACCTTGAACCTATTATTGAACGTGGTATATAAATATCTCAATGTATGAATAACTGGACTTACACCATTAAAAAAAAAACGGCTCAATTTCCTTTTAAGTGTAACATCATCGAAGTATAGGTAATCCCCTTATCATATACATATGGACCGTTTATTTTGAAAGTGGTGCAAGTTCACTTTCTTTTGTTTCGAGAAAATTAAATGTTAGCAGATCTGACAATGAAAAAATATAGGTTTTTTTTAACAAAGCATTGGCATTTTTAAGATATTAAATACTAACTAGTTATAAACAAAAAGTTTACACTAAATTAAGCATAAATTACGTCATATCTCATTTTTTTTAAAAAAGGACTTACACCACTTTCAAAATAAACGGTCCCCAATATATTATATTGTTGTTTAGATTCCTCAAAATTGCCGCTTTTAAACAATTCCCTGACAGTGTTAGACGAAACCGCGTTGTAGGATATTACACTACAAAAACATTACTCGTTCTTATAATATAATAATATGTATTATTAGTATAATAGTGTTAAATAATGTAGTAGACGGGGCTACGACCGCATAGTTATAATAATATAACAATATATATTATTATATGATTATAATTATTATTTTTATGATTGTAATATCATTCTCAGGTATTCTCAGTTTATTCCGATCATTGCCGATATCGATCGAAAATAGTCGAAATACGATCGACTCCCGAATGGAGATTCTCGACTGTCTCATTATTCGGATATCTTATTTTTTGTTTACTCGGGAAATAGTAATAACCCTAGTTTTGATGCTTCGTTTTCTAGTATCAGTTCGAAAGGCATCAAACTGATGTCGATACATTTGTGAAGTATCAAACAGATATCGATAGTTACGTAGAAGTATCAAACGAGGATCGATATTTTTGTGGAAGTGTCAAATAGATATCGATTATGTTTGATACTATTCGATATGATATCATAATTTGCGAACTGGAATCGATAATATTAGATTAAATGGTGAAGCGTAAACACTTACAACACCCGTCGGTAAATCATAATAGTCGGGCTGAGGCGTCGATGGTTTCGGTGGGCCACCTTCGTATTGCAAAATGGCGAACTGTTGGACTTTTGTGTCGGCACATTCGCTGAGGGCACGAGCTCGTATCCAGTACGAGCCTATATCCTTATCCGCGTATATTATACCGTCAACACGTTCACCTTTAAAAAAATATTTGTATTTATTAACCTTTTTGTAAATAATTTTAGTATGTCCTTCCAAAAGATTTCATTTGATTCGATAAATTGAATTGAACAATTTGAGACAGGTTCTTAATCTGACTTTATTAAATCATTTCCTTAAGGAGCTAGACCACTGTGATGCAGAATTCAACAACGATATAAACAAGTATTTATTCTACCAGTTTATCTTTTGTAACTAGCTCTCACTAATTCAGATCAATATAATGCTTTGAATAGTATTTTTTAAAGACACTACGTTACAAAAATTCAGATTTCTGAGAAAATGACGGTACGTTTGTCAATCTTCCTTGATTAATAACTTTTTAATAAACAATTATCGGCGATTTGAACCTTTTGCAGGTTACTCGGGAGGGTGACCTTGATAACGTATGTCAATGTCAGGGTCATCAGGCGTGGTTGTGTTTCAGAAGTTCAACCGAAATGTTTTACAACCGCTAATTTTCAACTCATTTCTATTTTCACTATTTTCATAACAAACGATAGTAGGTTATGAAACTAATATCGTCCCTAATATGTAGAAATGAATGACGAATACAGTAGCCTAAACACTTTTCATTTTTTTCCTTTTTATTGCACGATATTTAATCAACTATAAATGGGATCTTATATTCAGTGCAGTTGCCCTAATAATTATTAAGTTATAATATTTCACTGTTCAAAGTTCGTTATTGTTAGATCAATAATTTGAAAAATTATCTACCTGCGAGGAACAAAATCGTGTCCACCACTCTCGGCTTCACGTCTGCCCCATCTTGAGCGATCACAGTAAAGTTGTGGCTTTCGAAGCTAACTTCGCACGGACATATGGTACTAAACGAATTGATTAATCGAACTCTGTATCTTTTTCCTTGAGTAACTGTAAATGACGTCAAATTGACATTGGTCGTCCGGTTCGTACTTGGATCCTGGAAACAGACATATTCCTATAGTAATCCTTGTAGAGTATGGTTAAAGTTACAAATATGTACTTCATGAATATAAAATATATGTAATTACAAATAAATACAATTTTGGTTGTGTGATATTTAAAATCGAACTTTTATATTAATCTTCGTGAAATTTATATACCCAGAAAACATTTTTAGAACAGAAACTTTGAACTCAGAAGATTGCAACTTTGCATTGTGTATCATACTTCAAGCATCTCCTCTAATGTAAGGAAGTTTATTTTACCACAACATTTGACCTTGCATGACCTTCAATGGTAGCTCGCTGAAGTCGTCTCAACGCCGGTTATCACATCGCGATAAAAAAAACATAGCATTCCGTTAAAAAAAATATGGATGACCTTGAAATCTCCTCTATGCCTTCACCCACGCAGAAAATGTTTTTGTCACAATATGCCCCCCTCTATACCGTGTAAGTTTTGTATTTAACATTTTTTTATATTATTACAAATAACGGCAATATTCAAAGTGGACATAGTTATTGCCCCACTCTGTATAATTCTGCCATTTTGTAATTTTAAATCATAACTATGATGTTACCTCATATGAAAATGAGGTTAAAATGTTGCGTAGCAACCCTTAAAACATCTGAATATTTTACTAACTAATTACTTGAGAAGAAAATTTTTTATATTTGCCCAATTTTGTTAGGTCTACAGGGTGGGTGTACCTCCTTAAATTCAATACATCTTTCCAACTGCTAAATAAAAAATGATTTAAAATACTAAAACACAAATATGAACATTGACCAAGTAGTATACCTAGGCTCTTTTTTTTCTTACAGCTAGAAGATAATACTGTACTTGTTAAGCATACATAATTATCTGCGTATTAACGCACCTAATAAATAAATGCATAAATTTGACGTTGCTAATATGAATAGTGCTCGAGTAAAGAAGTTGTTAAAAACATTTTCTTTACACCTCTGGATCAGAAAATTTTATAGTATAATCCTGATGACACACAGAGTACGCCGAATTTTATTGTTCATGTACAGGGTGAGTCTCGAGAAAGAGAACACTTATATATATCTCTGCTAGAATTCAACATAGAGGAAATTTCTATTATTCAAGGGGACAAATATGACGATATTGGTCTTTTGTTTATCGTTATCTTCAATGTTATTTAAAGGCCATTGGTGTTTTGTTAAAATGGTATCATGTATTTCTAAGTCGATAGTACAATAGCTGATGTCAAGACAAATTCGACGACATAAAATACAATGACTTTGAAATGACCTTGTATTCAGAAATTTGGGATCGATCAACGGAAATTTGATTTCTTAAGCTGTTACGTTTCATTCATAACAATAACTGTGTGCCGTTAACAGAAGATAATCTCTGAATGTACACAAACGTAATTATCAAAAAACCTACACTCTGTTTTACCATCAAATTATAGAATTATAATATTATCCATAATTTTTTGTTTACACCACTTTGATCAAAAGTTCTAGTAATTACAAAATTCGATCGTAAGATCACTTTCACGTGTTACAAAACGTTTAAATGCATGTACTACTGCTGAAGGGCACCATTTTGATTATTTAATTTAATGCAAATAAAATAATTGCATACTTCAGAAGTGTCATTACTTGATCCTAAATTTCTTGCATTCAAGATCGTTTCAATGTTATGAGATCCTATGTCCTTGAACTCGCTTTGACATCAGTTAATAAGCCATGAAGTTAGGAATTCATGGTGCCCTATAAAAAAAACACCAACGACCTAGAAATAACTTTGAAGATAACGTCAAACAACAATCAATTATTCTCTTTAATATTTTCCCCTATTTTCAAACCTAATTAGTTAATTAGACACGTTTCTTCCGGAAGAGGAGGTTGCAGTACCTCCTCCAAGGCCACAGCTCGGCTCATGCGCACTAGCTATCACAAAGCCCCGCAATTAGGTAAGGTAGGCGTTACCATTTTCAATCCTAACACAAATATTTAGTTGTACTCTTTCTCGTGATTCAATCTGAATAATCTCATTTTTATTTGAAGTCATTAAATAACTCATAAAAATAATATTGCATAGAGAGTATTACGTAAGAATCTTAAACATCGTTCGTGGCCAATGAGTAGAAACAAAAATGGCCGCCCGGCGACAGAATGTTAAAATGAAAAAGGAATTGATTTTACAGATTTCCGTGACTCACCGTCCACTTTCCCCGTCCGTTTATAGCTATATTCTCTGCAGCTTGCCCAAGATTGAATCGATAATGACCCGGAAATCGTTCTAGGGATAACTCGTGTATCACATCGCTCATAAGTAGTGTGATTGTGTCATTATCGTACAAGCCAATGTGAGGATCCTCAGCATCTCTAATGATGAGAGGTCCGTATTGTCCATCCAGTATGTATGTCGATATATGAGAATGGTAGAAATGAGTGCCAGGATTTTGCGCCTCGAATTCATACCTGAAAAAAAAACGTAAAATTTGCAGTAGGTACTAGTCTTCACTGTTAATTTGTATTTCATAATAGAGGCGAATAATAATAACTAGACAGCGAATTTTATGCATTTATACCCAAATAGCACGTGACGCCTTGAGGACGTCCATTTTATGGCTATTTTAGGTCTAAGACGCCTTTAAGCCGTCTTCAAGACGTCATTGGGCGTCATGTGCTACCTGGGTAGCATACTCGATTGAAATTAAATTCAGTTACAGTAAGAAGGTTAACACATAAATTGTACTGCGATTTTATTTAAATTTGGGACCTGATGGATCCCTTAGTGGAGTATAGAGATCTTTACTTGACCTTAATTTTTATAAACAGATCTAAGAAATAATATAAAAACTGATATTTGCATAAACATGCGCAGTCTCGTAGTAACGATAATAACTGCTAATTGTAACACGATTTTTACGCTACCGTATATAAGGTATAGTCATAAAATCATCGTCACCTAAAGCTCGAGGAAGATGGAATCGGACACTGTGTCACATAAGGAACACCGTCGTAATATTGGTAGCCATTTTGGTAAAGTCCATGCCAGTGCAGGGTGACTTCGGTACCTGAGGCAGCGTTCCTTACGTCCACCACTACTATGTCGCCCACGCACACCTGTGAAGTTATCGTGAAATTTTCACACATGGTTTCAATAATTCAGAAATTCGAAATTCCAGAAGATAGTATTTAGTATAGTAATTATAATTATTACGCTGACTCAAGTTACAAAATTTGAAGATTAGTATTTTTCAGAATATACCATAAACAATATTATTTATTATTCGGAAATGAAAATAACGTAAGTGAAATAATTATTCATTTAACAGGATTACGTACTTCGATTGGTGGCCCTGGTATTTGTCGATTTATTGTTAGTACTGTCTTTTCAACCCCATCTAACCATACGCATTGATCTTGTGTGTCCACTCTGTCGCAGGCACTGGACAACAATAATCATAATAATGTAAAACAATTGGAGGTTTAATGTATAGGTAATGATGCGTGATTTGATGTACTCAAAGGGAGTATTCCAGTCTAGACCGTTCAAAAAATCGATTTTTTTCGCTTTATTTTAATTTTTTAATCGTTATTATATTCTCCATAAAAATACAAAATATATTTCAAAATGTGAATTGTGGCTTAACTTGACCATTTAGACTATAATTTTTCTTAGAAATACAAGAGATAAAAAATCCTAAGGAATACAGCATTTTTTATCGTGTTCCTGTAAACACACGTAGAATATTTTATGAAAAAAAGGAACTTTAAAACAGAGCACAAACACACGAGTTAACAATTTCGAAATTGTCTTTTCGTAATTTTTCTCGGAAGGAATTCTTTGATAGATTTTTAAATAAAATTCACAGTATCATGCATACAAAATATTCTTCGGAAGCAATACGATGATAAAAATTTCACAATATAGATTGAGAGACATTTTCAGACTACACTAACAAAAATACTGAAATGACACGTACATATTTCCTGAATATTAATTATTAAATATTAAAGAATTATTTATTAAATATTACAAAGTAACACGCTTTGGTGATTTGAATTACAAAGTCATCGAGAACTATAAAACATGAACAATATTGTTTGCTTATTCTAAATAATTTTAATTCAAATACGTATAATTAAAAGATTGCGTCAAAATAGAAAATAATAATACATACGGCCCATTCACTGTGTAGAACTCAATCACGAAATTGAAGTAACAAATTTTCGGTTCCTCCGACTCAACGCACTGCCGTCTGCATTGTTCGCCCGGAGTAAAATAATTTGATTCATTGTAAACCGGATAACCATACCCTAAAGATAAATCAAACACTGTATTAAAACTTTAGGCGTCGATGATTTAACTGTTGCTTGTCGTTTTTATTCCGTTGAAATTTAACTAGGTCATCGATCGAGCCCGCGTATCAGCTAGGAATCGGTTGTTCGAGTAGTATAACCAGCTAAAAGGCGGACGTCTTAAAGGACTCGCATATAGGGGAAAGGTGTCTAAAACGATCCCTCGGTGTAAAATGATTCCTGTGGCTATTAGTGGTGCTATATCGTAATGTCGTTCTACAATAATTATCCCCGCACGTCACTAGTCGTTGCTCGAAGTGCCATGTGAATATCAGTGCTCTGTGTGTTATCGACAAGAAAAATTTTAAATTACTGCAATTTATCTACGATAAGGTCTTTTTCAATGTTGTAGCTTTAGTCATAAACGGTTTAATGTGACAGCTGCTTCTTGCGCGGATTTAACCACAATTCAATAATAAGTTAATTAATTTTTCGTTATCACATGTAATAAGTTGTTATATTCAACCACTGAATGTGAGTTGGGTATTTGGGGTCATATGATCCCTCTGTAGTGGGATAAAATGATCCCAGGAATCATTTTACCCATATGCTGTGTTATTGTTTTTTGTTTTAGTTACAACAATAACCCGTCAGTATGAAAGAAAAACAACGCGTCAAAGTTGTTTTTATTTAAATAAAATGTAATAACTGAAATGCTTTTTAATGTTCGTCGTATTTACTATCAGTAGGTATAAAATGATCCCCGAGGATCATTTTATACACATACATGTACAAAATGATGTTTAAGTATGTCTTCAAAGAAATGTGAATAAAAAATATAATTGATCAGGTAGCTAAATTTTATTTAAGCCAATAATAAGATAGATAGACTAACTTACAAAAACTACTTTACTTTTATTTAAATAATGAGCATTTGTATTTTTTATATAAATCACACCTCAAGGGGATCGTTTTAGACACCTTTCCCCTACTATAAGCAACTCCACGTCAAAACGCACAGGGAATTGCGGTCATAGTCACCGATTTTTTTTCAAATTTACAGTATTTGTAGATAACCACGAAAAAATGAACTATGTCAAATTTTAGCTTCCAATGTAAAATTTTAATTATCCAAACAAATAGCAGAAAAGTAAATATGGTAACGTAACGTATCCCTTGATAATAAAATTTAGATAGTGTCAAATATATGTGAGTGAACTACAAGTTGCCGAGATGGTCGAACGAAATATTTACATTATGGTAAACTTTATATTTATTATAGTTCAAGTTTTCAATTTTCCAACACAAAATTATTGACATTGATGTAACTATTTCAATGTTATTCAAAATTTCAGGTACCATTAATAGCCTGTTATTGAACTGGATACTTACAGCAATGCGACAGTTTCGAATGGACTACAAGAATCACGAGCAACGCGTAAAGTTTTCGCAGGTTTAATAACCAGCTACCGTTCACCACAGGGTACACGAATGTCATCTTTATGCCATATAGCTGCGCGATCCTGGACGCCTCGTCCATTTATATGATGCACCAGAATCATTTCCACAATTTTTGTCGCAACGATGGCCTCAAACTTATGGAAAATGCTGGCTGCTTATTCGCGTCTGGTTATCGGTTTGTATTTCCGGGTACCTACTATTTTTTAACAATACTGTCAGGGTTATAATTAAGAACCGTTCTGTTGGCATCACGACGCCCGAGGTCATCGATAGATATACGACCATATATTATTGTATATATGATACAACATTTAAACCATGCCAGAAACTGTATTGTTTTTCACCAGCGCCGGATTAAAGGGGATGGGGCTAGGGGGTCTATAGTCCCGGGCCTCACTTTGGGGGGAGGGCCCGATCTGAGCCTTCATAATTGAATGAAATTTTGTTTACTGTTTCCCTTTTGAAATAATTAAAAATTGTACTAAATATAGAAAGAAATCGGATCAAAGTTGTTATAATATAACAAAGAATATTGTTCATTATAATCAAGCGTTCGTTAGGATTAAATGATTTTTAATTTTACTTATAATAACTTTCAATTTTTGAAGATTTAAATATTTAATTGTATGTTGGATAATAAAAATTTTGTGCCCCGCTTTTCAACCAAGGGGACCCTCGAAGGTTTAATAGCCCTGGGCCACAAGAAATCTTAATCCCGGGCCTGTTTTTCACAATGAAAAATATGATAGGAAAGAAATTTATAAAAGATTTATATATAGCTTTAAATTATTCAAATTAAAAATGGCGAGCATTTGACGGATGTAGAACACTGATGTGATCCTAAATGAATGTTTCGGTTTTGATCATTGTGTTCAGTGGACACAAAATAGTGATAATAAATAGCACAAAATGTTGGTAAATATTACAAAACACATTCTGCTTTTATCTAATAATATATGTTTACCAGCGCCGAACCAAGGGGTGGTGCCTAAAGGGAGCTGCAGCCCCGGGACTACATATTAAAAAATAATTAAATGAAATTTTGTTTACTGTGTTAATTTTGAGATAATAAAAAATATTAAATGTAGAAATTAATGGGAGGCCAAAGTCATTAAAATATATGGAAGCATTGTTGAAATGACAGTTACCAATAGTGTACCTCTTGAGAAAACGTTCGTTATGATTAAATGTTATTTAGTTTTATTTAAAATAAATTGAAATTGTTTAAAATTTCTAGCCTTATTGCAAAAATTTTGACTCCCACCCTACCCCTTCCACTTCTCCACCCCGTTACGATATAGGTATCTAAATATTTCGTGGAAATATTCTCAAAGAGTAGTTTTTCCGACAAACAACAATCTTGTTGCCTTGACAAAATATTTATCGTATTTCTGTTTTGTTGTTTGTGAAGGATAATAAAAATATTTATCAACATTAACATTACATATGTTATTAATTAAAATTTGTATTTATTGGTACGTAGTATAAAAGAATATTCCAATCAAATTCTTAATATAATTCGAGAATTACATAATAATTGAATATTATTTCTGAGAATAATTCATTCTTAAAAGGTAATGTAATATGTTTTGTAACAGAAATAGTGATCAGAATGTATCAGAAAACAATGTAACGTCGTTACTAATTTGAAATCTTTTATTAAATTTGAATTTCGTTGCGTCCATATCAGATATTTTACGTAAAAACAAATATCTAATGTGTATCATATTAATGCCTTAATTTTGTTTCTGCAATATGCTTTGGTCACTAAGTGCCCAAAATAATTCATTACCGTTTTCAAGTATGTGCCTTGTATGAAAATATTTATTGTGCGTTTGTTCCAATTTTCGCATACAAGAAACCAAAAATTTATGCCTTGTACAATGTAAAAAATGTATTCAAGTTAACGAAACTGTATGTATTATGGAAAGCGAAAAGTAATTAAGATATGTGCTATCTACTCTTGAACTTAAGAAACGAAGAAATGAATGTACTTCTCCCCCATTTATATGCATTTTGTATAATATATGGTAATGAATGATAGAAATTGAGCAAATAAGGCATATATGTAAATTGGCACATTGTTATACCTACTCGTGATTAAATGCCCGGAAAGGAAAATTGTTCATAGCATTTTACTTTTTTTTCCCAGTTCAAAGTTGATAGTCAACAATATCGATTAATTTTACTTAAAATTCCAGTCGAGTGAAAATAATTAATAATTCGGTGTTACAATTCAGTCTAAAGAAACAGTTTTCTTCCCTTAAAGTACCAATCGTACACGAGTAATGTAAATAATTTCGATTTAAGAGAAACACTGTTTACATACGGTGATGTCGATCACCGACAGATCAACGTTTTTTTTTAACGATATAGCAATCGTAAATTACCAATTGTATGCTACAGCATATATGTATAATATCGTAATATTATTGAACTCATGAGGATTCATCAAATGATCGCTCCCATTTTCCTTTACATTCCACTTGTATTATAATTCACGTTGCATAGCAGTTATACATATAAATATACTGAGTTATTTAACTTTTTTCGATTCGTTACATACAGACATAAATTATTATTTATACAAAAAATGTGTATTATATCGGTTAGTGTGTCAGATTGGAAATGCTTTTTGTGTCGCACGTCGATGCATATAAATAAATTTGTCGCATCAATGTGTCGTGTAAAAATACGATTGTAATATTTGTTTTCAAATAAAATTTCCTTTCGTTCGCAATATATCATATCTCGAAGGACTTGCTTTTAGATATTTACTGAAAAAAAATATCCTACAAGCAAAAGTGACGCGTCGAAATGAATATTATTTCGATCAAACGAAAACCATGCGACACCAGTATTTAATGTATTATAAAATATTGATTCCCGGCTTTAAAACGTATAAAGATTTACAAAAATTTCTTCACAGTATTTCATATAAGCTGCTATTCAACCCGTTCTCGAGGTCACATCTCACTCCTCGAGGAAAAAGTACTGCCCTGCCCTTTTCTGTTCCAAGTCCTGTAAAAAGATATTATTTTAAATCTGTTGTAAAAGACTTATATTGTTTACATATGTTAATTACTTACATCAACTTAAATTATACGAAAATATTTATTATACGCAGATTACATACTTTTACAGATTGACTCTTGTTGATCCTTGGTCTAAAGTTGTTCGGATCTCTTCTGAAAGTAATACCTAGCAGTTCCAAGAATCTATTCATGCCATATAATAAAGACTGTGGACTGTGAGCTGTTGTTGATAATGATGGTGTACCGGAAAACACTATTACACGGTCAGCCAAGTATGTAGCCATGATGAAATCGTGCTCTACTACAAATCCTGTTTTCTTTGCATGCAATATGAACCTGGAATAATAAAATAAGTTATAATAGAATTATTTATAATAATTCCTGGAGTATATGTTTTATTGTACTTTAATAACGTAAATGAAAATATAATATCTCTATTACCGTTTTATAACTTTAGCCGCAACTAAACGTTGTTCAGAATCCAAGTAAGCAGAAGGTTCGTCAATCAAATAGACGTCGGCAGGCTTTCCAAGACACAAAGCCAGAGCCACTCTTTGCAATTCTCCTCCGGAAAGATTTTGCACTTCTTGATCCATAATATCATCTATCTTCAAAGGCTTCATAACGTCCGTCACGAATTGAGGATGCACGTAAGCGTCCCTGATCTTTTCGTGTAACAATTGCCGTACGATGCCTTGAGATTTAGGACTTATCTTCTGTGGCTTATAACTGATATGTAACATTGGAATACTTCCTGCATCGTATAAAATTATGTTAATCAATAAATTTGTTATAAAGTGCATTAGAACTTGATAACTAAATTAAATCTTGATTTACCGGAACCATCATCAGGTGGTAAATTACCAGCCAACATTCTAATAAACGTCGTTTTTCCCGTTCCATTTTCACCAAGTAACACAAGAATTTCGGAGTCAGTGAACTGACCTTTTTCAACACGCAATTGAAACGAACCCATTGTCTTTACCATTGCTGGATATTCATAATGATTCATACGTTTCACTTCTTCTTCGGTTGCGCTTTCTGCTACCTTGAAGACAAGAGATTCCTCACGGAATCTCAAATTCTCAGTTGGAACGAAACCGTCCAAAAAAATGTTTATACCTTCTCTGACAGAGAAAGGCATAGTAACAACACCATATGCACCAGGGACACCATAAAGACAACATATGAAGTCTGACAAGTAATCCAGGACTGATAAGTCGTGTTCTACTACTATTATGAACCTATTCAATTTGAACAATTCCATAAATTTCAGGGAAAATTTATAGTATGTTTCATAAATAACAACTGCTTACTTATCAGGATGAATAAGAGATCGGATTGTTAAAGCAGCATTAAGACGCTGCTTTACATCCAAGTACGAAGATGGCTCATCAAACATGAAAATATCTCCATTTTGAATGCATACCATAGCACAAGCAAAACGTTGAAGTTCTCCACCAGACAGTGCCTCAATCCCTCTGTCACGTATATGCATTAAATCTAAACAAAAATAAATTGTTATATTATCATTTCAAATAACCATTCCCTTAATTCAATGTTTGGTACTATCATCATCTTACCCAACATTTTACAGATATCTATTTGATTCCTGCATTCATCTTTTTTATCTAAAAGTTGCTGCACAGTGCCTTTCACAGCTTTAGGGATTTGATCTACATACTGAGGCTTAATGAGAGCTTTCAAATCGTCCTCCAATATCTTAGTAAAATAATTTTGCAACTCACTACCCCTAAAATGACTTAAAATTTCTGTCCAATCTGGTGGATCCTACATTAGGAATTCAAATTATGTGTTAACCAGAATGTAGTGTATACTTTGCAAAGTATATATGTAAGCTTACATACAGTAAATCGACCCAAATTTGGCTTCTGTTTGCCTGCTAAAATTTTAAGAGCCGTCGATTTACCAATTCCATTAGTTCCAACCAAACCTAGTACTTCTCCAGGACGTGGGATTGGCAGTCTATGTAATTTAAATGAATTCTTTGAATAACGATGTGTAGTTTCTTTTTCTAAATTACTAGGAAGATTAATGATGGATATTGCCTCAAATGGACATTTCTAAAAATAAATCATTATTAGTGTTACTATATAATTTAAATAATTATAAATATAGGATTGTATGATTGTACACTTAGAATGTTTTACTATACCTTAACGCAAATACCACATCCAATACATAATTCTTCTGAAATAGATGCTATTTTGCTATTAGGATAAACTTCTATACAAAGTTTTCCCATTCGTACAACTGGACAGGATCTCTTACATTCCTGCCTACATCGTTTAGGTTTACATTTATCAGAATTAACAATAGCTATACGAGTTAAACGATCCGTTTCTTCCATAGACTTTTTAGGCGGCATGATGGTAAAATATCTGCCTGCCTGAAAATTATATACAAACAAATGTTAACATTTAGAATACAATGTTTAAAAATAACTTCAATATTTTGAGGATTAATTTATTTCTCAGTATTAAATTATCATCCAAAAAAGAGAATATCGGAATGCATTATGATTAATGACTTCAAAGTTATTGAAAAGGATTCAAATACAGAAAACTATATAACAAAAACTAAACGTTTTAAATAAATGACCTTTTAAAGCAAGGAAGTTTTGTTTATTATGAATTTTATCTAGTAATTAAGGATCATAAGAAATAATTTCAACATATGTTTTATTCATAATATATAATTGAAGAGCAAATAGTCAGTTTTCCTGTTAGAATATAAAACAGAGAGTAGTGACGTAGTTATGAACATACTTAAAAAAAATTTTCATAAATATTTGCATTTGAACAAAGGTGAAATATACAGAAATGCAGTTTCCAGTTTCACTGCGGGATTCTAACCTCGCGTAATTACTTATAAAACGTGCTGACAGAATAATATTTCACAATTGTATTATATAATTAAAAAAAGTAATTTATTCTAAATGCAATATCTCCTTACTCTGTAATATTTAACAGACACATACGTACCTACGTACCTGTCAAAACCAAAAACGTGGAGGAAACGGAGGAAACTCCTCACAATCTTTTCGAAGGAGTTTCCACACTTGTACACCACCACATGCTTGGATTCCAAACATAGAATACAGTATGGAAGACTATGCACTCGATATGCAGTGCAAACTTATATTATAAGTTTACATTGGTTTACATCCTTACATCATGCTTACATCGTGGTTTACATCATGGAATAGGTCTATTCCAGTCTATTTCATGATGTATATTATTATTGTATATCCTTCACTATCGTTACATCATAGTCTATCCCTATCCTTGCCATTTTTCAAATACCTTTTAAATATAAGAAGATAGTTAGACAAAAGTAGAATATTTCTGTTATTATACATTATACGTTACACAAATGTTACAAGTGATTTTCAAACTAAATGATTATGGGCACAGAAAAAATTATTATATTATTTTTTATAATTAAAACATTACCCAGGCAGTCATACCTGCAAAGCCCAATTTTGTCACAACTGGTTGAAACTTGTCATAACTGGTTATATTAAGGTTACATGTTTCTTCATTTTTCTTCAAATTTTTATTTAGGCGTTAGTAAAAATTGTTATTCTGTACAACGAAAAGGCAGTAGTATATATGGATCCATATAAATGAATGTGATGTTAAGTTGACTTATAACTTATAATTATAGAAAGTTTTATCAACATTTATTAACTTTGTAAACATTATTGTATTCAACTTATCAGTTCTAATATAATATGAAGTTTTAAAGACAACATTGTATAGATGAAAATGAAAAAATACCGGTAATTCTAAATGCATATTTAGGTTTCAGCGATTTCGATATTATTTCAATTTACTATTATATGGATTTCGGCATAACTTAATAAACATTACATGTATCTAAACGAAAATACTACTGAATTTAAATCTCAGAATGAACTTTTATTATGAGCTTTAGGGTCGGGTGTTGGTGTTATATAGGTCCGGGTTATCAAAGGTCTTTGCATTACGCCACCTAGCTTCGAAAACTGCATCTCTTATGAAGCATTATAAAGATTCGTTCTGAAGTTTTGAGCATATTATAATAACATTTACGTGTATTCTCTCATTTTTTAGTAAGTACTTATATAAATTAGTATTTCTTATATATAGTGGACATTTTTTGTTTTTGGTTAATGCAAATGTAGATCGTCCAAATTTATGAACGAATACAGTAGCTGCAGCAGCCTAACCGTACCTACATCTACTTAGTTTTAAAACAGGTGTCAAGTGACAGTTCTTACTGCTTTTTTCCTTTCTATATATAAGTTCTTTTTGCTAACGGACTATTAAAACCTCATATGCCATAATACGCTGAATCATTTATACGTAATTTTTGTATGTAACATTTTTCTGTTTATGCATGTACTTATACGAATATTTTAGTGACCCGAATGTTACAAAAAAATGGCGGTTTGACGTAAACATTTTTCCTTCTTGTAAATTTTCCTACTGTTTCATAAAATTGATCATTTCTTTTGTTACTGAATTCCTCTGTATGCTGTGTATAACTGTATTATACCTTTGATATACTTTATTAACACATTTGTCAGTAATATTTTCATTAATGTTCAGCCTTTAGTTAGAATCAGTAGATATTACTTTTCTAGTATGTGCCAGTTTCCTTTTTTTACATTTTTGAATAAAAAAAAGTTTTAATTAATTTTGCTTTTATTATAAAGACATGTATATTAGTAGGCATAGTGATTTATTTCTAATTGAAATATTCTAAACAGTTGTTACACCCACCCAGTGGAATGGAGAGAAGTATTCATGAAATGCTGAAAGATGCTCCAACTATAAGTGAAAACGATAATGCAGTTCATGGTGGAACTCCTCCTCCTCATTTACCAAACAATTGTACTAATGATACTCAAACCAGACCAGCTACAATAAATCTAACATTGGGTAGTCCTACATCACAAATGTGTAAGTAATATGAATACAATGTAACATGTTAAATATTATTTCAACAAATATTTATAAAACTGAGTCAGTATATTTATCTAATGGCAGCTGTAACAGTATCTCCAAGTACACCTATTCAAAATGGGGATACGCAAACAATGCGTACTGCTCAGAGTAAAATTGAAAGCATTAAAAACTGGAGTATTTCTACATATAAATGTACAAGACAGTTAATGTATGAAAAACTTGGAAAAACGTCGCGTACAGTAGATTCAGGTAAGTTATCTGTAATGTAATCTCATTAGTTACATTTTTATTCTTTAATTATAACTCATGTTCTCATTTTTAGAGCTTGAAACACAAATCGAATTATTAAGAGATACTCAAAGAAAGTATTGTAATGTATTACGATTATCTAGAGCTTTAGCTTCCCATTTTCATCATGTTGTGCAAACGCAACATGCTCTTGGAGAAGCATTTTCTGAATTGGCACAGAAATCACCGGAATTACAAGAAGAATTTCTGTACAATTCTGAAACTCAAAGGAATTTAACTAAGAATGGTGAAACATTACTAGGGGCCTTAAACTTTTTTGTTTCTTCTGTAAATACACTTTGTAATAAAACTATTGAAGACACTTTGCTAACAGTGCGACAGTATGAAACAGCAAGGTAATGTCGAATTTTAGAATGTAACAACATGAAAATCTAAAATATCTTTTTACGTTTCAAGATTTTGATAATATTTCTTTCATTTACAGAATAGAATATGATGCCTATAGGACAGATCTTGAAGCATTAGCCCAAGCAACGAAATCTGATGGTAGCAATGCAGCAAGATTAGAAGAGGCACAGACTAATTATGAAGAACATAAACAAAACTTTGAAAAACTACGATCAGATGTCTCGATTAAACTTAAATTCTTAGATGAAAATAGAGTATGTTGTTATTTATCTTTCTGTCTTTCTTTCAAATCTTTTCTATTATTACATTATGATTATATTTTTATTACAGATTAAGGTAATGCATAAACAGTTACTGTTGTTTCATAATGCAGTGTCTGCCTACTTCTCTGGAAATCAAACTGCATTAGAAGCAACATTGAAGCAATTCAATATAAAAGTTAAATCGCCAAATTCATCTTTACCATCATGGCTCGAACAGTAGTTATACGAGAATGAATAAATGCCAATATTTTGAGGAATCTGAACAAAAAAATACATTCGTCCATTCGAATTTTTCTTCAAATAACTAAGGGAGAGACAAGGTAGAATATCTATCAAATTATTAAAAATGTATCAGGAAACGTTGCTGTCAAGATATCTGTCAGTTTAAGTGGTTTTTGGAATGAAATTAGATAATAATTCAGAAACCAGATTGAATTATTTTCTGAATTATATTTTAAATATTGGCCAATACCATTGATGTACAAAACCATGCATTAATACATCTCAATCGTATAATTAGCACTTATGTGCAACATTTGATGGGAATTAAGTATATATCTGTTGATAAGATTTGACAAAGGTTCTCTTGATTCGATAGTAATGCTTATAAAACTTTAAAGGCAATAGATATTTAATTTTTACATCTGTCTTCTTAGAGAAGTTCTAATGTAAATACATGATGTATGATAAACTGAACTTTGAATTTTACAGTATGTATAAAACAGTATTAATTGGTTGTTTATATTACATTTTGTACCAACATAGTAGGCATATTGTCTTTACTAGTAAGAGGACTGTAACCATCAAGCGAGAGAATTTATAAACTAGGTGTTTTGTTGTACTCTTCATTCCATTTTTAATATTAATAGTACCAATAGAATTTTATTTGTGGTACATTCAAATCAATCTTCCAAAATACAAATGTTGGTATTCATTTACATTTTGTATAAAAACCAACATAATTAATTTAAAGAAAAAACAATATTCACAGAAATTTATATTCTTCCAAATTTAAACTTGAACTATTTATGTATCTTAGTTGCTATATTTAGATATTGGCATTACTATCATCTTCCCATATGTACTGATTTTGATATCAGAGTCATGTGTTTCTAAAAGGCCAGAAACAATAAGTTTTTGAAATCTATGCTTAAAGTTATCATACTTTTAAATTGTGTACTTTTCATATGCTCTCTTTTCGTACGTATAATCGTCCCTTATAATGACATTAATTTAATACAATCACTATGACTTAATTTATTTTAACAAAATTTATTAATGAATATGTACATGTTACTTAATTTATTGCAATAACGAAACAGTTGCGTTAGTAACAATACTAACATTATTACGAGATGTAATAAATGACACGTAATTATGATTTATTTTCCAGAAATACTTTTAAGTATTTCGAAAAAGGGGCTATAATTTTTATAATAAGATCTCTATAGTTTTTTGCCAATAGAACAGTATTCTTTCATCAAATGCGATTAGTGTTTATGAAAATATTCGTATTTTAAAAAAGAAGTATTCAACTGTTGAAAAGATTAACATACTAGTCATATTTTTTAAGTGAATAATTAAAAATTAGGTGAATTAAAATTACGATTTACATGTTTTTTTTTAAACATGTTAATACTATTTATGTCTCTATCCTTTGCTTCAAATCAATAGTACATAGAGTCTGTACTAAACTATTACACATCTTTACGCTTTATGCATAACATTTTTAGTATAGGTGAAATAAATATATGTACATTGTCACCATTGTTTGTTGCTTACACCCATAGTTTATATTAGCATTGATAGTAAATTAAATTATATAAAAAAACCTAATCTATTAAGATTATATTATCATCAAATACGTTTCATTATTATTCTTTTATGAAATTCTTCCAATGTGATCATAATGTACATCCTTTAATGCATGTAAAACAATGTGTGTAAGTGAATCGTGTATAGAAAAACATATAAGATTTTCAGTGCATAATTTCAACATTTTTGTGAATTCTTATAACTGTAAATCAGCATTTATCTCTGGTACAATAATAGAATTTACAAAAGCTGCTATGTAATTCATGTTCATGTAATGAATAATCTCTGAAGATTAATAAATTTTATCAAATATTTTGCTATGATCATATAGGAAATACATTCCATTAAACAACAAATTTTTGTTAAGATATATTTAGGCCGTTACAATGTATTGTAATAAGATGAAACTAAAGAGTCTTATATTTATTAATTACTAATAAGTATGAGGGTAACGTTGAATAACTTGCATTTTTGAAGAATGCAATTTGAGCACCTTTTAATTTCTAAAACGTATTGTAGCTAATGTATTATGTTCCTAATCATGATGTTATTGTGTGTATATTATGTGTATACAAACTACTAATAATAAATGAATGCTTATATACTTTGCTTTCTACAAAATTTTAATTATTTATAGTTAAATCAGTATCCGGATATCAATCCTCTAATTCAAAATTGACACAACTATAAGAAACTAATAAATTACAATTTGTTAAATAGTAACAGGCATTGAACAATAATTTATTTATTACTACAATTAAAATGATGTCTCAATATATTCATATAGGTATAGGCATAGCCAGGTGGAGGCACTTGGCCCCCCCTAAACAGAAAGAGGTGACTTTTGCCCTACCCTAGAAGAAAAAGATTGGATTTTGCCCCCCAGCCTTCCCAGAATTACAAAATTTTTACATATTTAAATTGCAGTATAATTTAAAACACGACCAACAGCCTCTATTAACAAAACCCGTACATTTTCAACGATTTATGACTTTAAAAACAAAATAGAGTATCTGGCTACATACAGTTTTTTAATTGTAGCAGTTGATGTGTTAATATTTTTGCCCCCCCAACTGATAATCTGGCTATGCCCATAAATATAGGTAACAATGGATAGCACTGAATAACCATTCTTTATACAATATAAACTGTACATGTTACAAAGTACCTATTATTGTGAAAAATGATTCTCCAAGTTTTTACATAAAAATATGATATCTATGATACACATAATGAAAAATTCAATTAATTTACATAGGATTTACTATGTCTTATTCTCAGGCTCTTCTTTATGCATTTGTTCTTCTAAAGTTGCCTGTGCTTGCTGAACTTCTTCTAATCTTTTTTGTATAAGAACAGGCTGTACTTCCATAAATATTTCCATCATTTTATGATTTGCACGGACATGCTTTTGCAGGCATTTGCTTACACAAATATCCTATAAGATGACAAATGCAAAACAAACACATATTATAGTTATGTACAGTAGACAAGAATGTTTATTTTAAATATTGCTAATAATGAATCATATATTGTACGAACAAAACAGTACACAAATTACAAGTAAAATATAGTTCAAAACACACCTCTTCTGCTGAAACTTCTCTTGAAATAAATGTATTCAGGCATCGTTTGAAACAGGTTTCAGATATTTGATTATATAGGAGTAAAAAATCCTTAAACTACAACATAAGTCTCATATAAAAATATTCTTTTAACGATATTTGTAATAATGTGAACATAGGTTAGAAAATAATACTTAATTATTAATACAAAATATTGACAGTAAGTACATTTCTTATTTGCGTAAGATCCATATTTAAGTTACAATCTTCGAATTAAGTGACAAATTCACAATATCCTACTGCAATTTTTGTTTTCATTGAGGTTATAGCACATCGGCAATATTCTTCAAATTTGTAACGATATAATTTCTAACTATCGATCAATGACACATGTTGTAACTCGATGTTTCGATTTCGTCATATATCGAACAGGACATACTTAGAAATGGCGTGCAAAATCACTAACGGAGATTTATCACAGTGATCGCCGAATCACGATCACGGTCGTGATTTAACTTCATTCACGACCGTGATTGCGATTTTTTTATCTTGAGTGAATTTCACATTTTGCATGATTGGAAAAGTAGTCAAAATAACTCATTGTGCTATCTACGGAAAAATGATGGGACAATCCACACATGCATATTCCTCATGCAAAGGACAAATATTAGCAGTTAAAAAACGAACTCACACGTACGCCGACGTACGCGCAACACAGTCAAGAAGCGCGCAACTCAGGTCGTCTTCTGCTTCTTGCTGGTCGCGCACCTGTAGCCGACCGGTTAGCTGATAGGAGTTCGTTTAAATGTGCAACCCACACATGTGGTATAAATTACGTACAGATGCCTGATGGGGATTGTTATCGGCGAAAGTCAGCGGATCTGGCCCACCCAGAAAGAATTTCTAGTTACGCTAATGCCAAACACGGAAATCAATGTTAAAAATCGCATTTCACCGAAATTTAGGTTTCATTTCACTATTACATTCTTCTCTTCTACAATCAAAAAGACAACCGAAGACGCACATAATTTAAACTACATATGTATATACTGCCTCCTCAATACAAATTTAATTTATCCTCTATGTACTCTATGTTAAAAGCTCATTGTTGTTTCTACTACATTCTGATTTGCTACTATTCTGACAAGGATATAAATACTAAAAATTATAAATGACCAAAAAGAAATAGAAAGTAGGATTCAGGCCGACTGTTTATAATTAAGTTATCTAATGATGGTGTGATAATGCTCGACCTCCGAATACAGACATATTTATTTCGTTGCGATTTGTACAAAATATACATTGAAAATACAAAGGGTAATACAAAATAATTTACTTCTATAGTACTCATCAATGTAATAATAATTATTTTTATGTTACATTGAATATATTCAATTTATCTTTGTTCATTAACTCAGTCTTTCAAATCACTAAAAGTCTGTTCATTAAAATATCGTTAATAATACGCGCAGCGTGCATCATAAAATCTCTTAGCCAAATGGCACGTTACATAATACAGTTACACTTCTGAATAATATAATAATTTGCACATGTACGGCGTCATCCTAATAATTTTTATACTAATATTATAATAGAAATATAAGCTGTTTAGCCAGTTCTTTGCGCACCTTAGTGACTGGCTTAAACATAAATAATTATATACGTTGTTCGATATACCATCAATTATTATTTCTACTGCCGTGGCACCCGAGACGAAAGTGAAGGTACAATGGATCTGCAACAACATACAATATTCTGTTAATAAATAGAAGAAATCTCTTTTTTTCTCTATGAAAGTACGATAGTTATTTCTCGGTATTTTAAAGTCCCGAAAATCTTTTGTCCATCAGAATTTTTTACAATATACATTAATTTGATACCGATTGAAAAACTTTGAATATTAATCTGTACCATCGTTTGTCTATGTATAGCTCGTTTCTGTATTTCTATGTATGCATTTTAAAAGTTTCAATACGCAAACCAATTATTTCTATGCTTATAGATTAAATACTCACTTTTGTTTTACATTTGGCTTCTGGTATGGATGTGTTGTGATTAATCCACGCCTTTCCTTGTCTCTCATTACTTTCAGAGCAGCAGATGTTCCATCAATGTTATCCTTTTTACGTTTCTCTGCTTTTAATTTATTTAATGTGGTAATGCTTTTTGTACTCATTACTGTATGTGGTCTTTGTACATATTTATTTTCTTTGCCCTTCATTCCTACTGGGTTCACTGTATCTTTATGCTTCAGGGGTATCCCTTTTGGTTGCTTTATGGGTGTATTTGCACTATCTCCATGATTTTTATCCAAAAGAATACGCTTTCTCGTTTTCCCCTGTGTAGAATTTTCTTTACTCTGTCCATCTTCCTTGTGTTCGTTTGGTTTCGCTGTATCCTTATTGAAAGTCGTATTTGCACATTCCACTAAACTAGAAGTCGTATCTTCTGTTTTGATGGCTTTGCCTGTGTTTGGAATAGATGTACTGAAAGTTGAGTTTAAGGTGTCTTTAGAACAATTATCATGCTCGTGATCAACCAAAACATCTGTTGTACATACTGGCACTTTACTATTGAGAGGATCTATCAAATCAGATATGTTAAGACAAGTCAAACTGTAAAAGTGTTTTTCATGATCAATTGTTTCCATGTCTGACCATTTGATATTTCTTACACCTTCTAATAATTTAATTAATTGTTTAAATTCCTCCTTCATTGTGCCTGTCATTATTCCATTGATTTTCATTGTATTATAATAATTTTGTAATGTAATACTCATTGTTTTATTTATCGAATAATCAGACTGCATTTCATACTGTTGAAGATTACTGATCTTTTTCACATGCTCATATTGCTGTTGCAATCTAGCCTTTTCTATTTCACAAGTTCTTAGTGCAATTGTATTCTCTAGCTTTTCCAGTTTTTGCAACTCCACTTCAGCTTTCAGTTTCTGTAATTCGATTTCAATTGAATGCAGTTCTTCCCATGTTGTCATCATTTGTATTTTCAAAGATTCTCTCTGCTGCTCAAAGGATTGCACAGAATTATTTAAATGCCATTTACCACTGGCATTTTCTTTTTCTGGACTTACATCGTCAATAGTCGCTATAAGATTATATAATCTCTCATCTGCAGCCTCTTTATATTGAAATCTACAACACAATAGTTTGTCGGCGCTTTCTAATGACAAAACTTTCTCGTTTAGGGTTTTCTTTCTTTGAAGCAACTGAATCAATTTGTTCTCTATCTCCTCATCCATCTTTGTATCCTTAGGCACTTGTGATACATTTATCAAACCATTCTCGAAAGCTAACAGTTTTTCTTTTAAATAATTTATTTCTTTCTTTTGTTCTTCTACCATTTTTATATATCCAGTCACATGCATTTCACAGGATAGAATGTTTTTCTTTATATGTGTCTTTATTTTCTTTGCTCTGTTCGCGTATCGTAAAGTGTTATATGTATCTTCATAACTGAGGCTGGAGGGTGCAATATTAGCTATCATAACTGTCTGACAATTTCCACCTAGTGAATCTTTCAATAGTCGTGTTAGTTTAGAATCTCTATATGTTATATGTTTTGCACCATCAGCCAAATTATTAATGCAATTTCCAAGAGCTAGTAAAGACCTATTGATATTTGCACCTTCTTTGAATCTTGCTCCCTTACATCCTGTAGCAGAAGCCCTTTCAGATCCAGCCAAATCAATCATAGACAATTTGACTTGCCGCACTTGACCATCTAATTTGTTGGTAATGTTAATATAAACCTGAAAGACAGCATGGCTTCTACTACTTTCCTTGTTTGCATCAGTGGGATGCTGAGTACGATTTTTGTTACCCTTTACTAAAAGGGACAATAACTCTTGCGCACTATTAATACTAATTACTTTAAGGCCTGCAATTATAATGCCATACCTACCATCATCTCTCAAATGTAAAGGACCAGAGTTATGTAAAAGATCTTGAACATTCTCATTATAAACTTCTAAGTATGTAACACCTAAATTAAATTCACGGTGCCCACCCTGCTTTTCTATTTGAAAAAATAATTCTGCTACTGTTCTGTATGTAATTCCAGGATCTTCATTACTGCCAAGCATCGTATGAGTTTTTCCAGCACCTGTTGCTCCATATGCAAACACAGAACAATTATAACCATCCAGCAGGCCAGTGATTAAATCTTTAGTACTTCCTTGGAATACATCTATATTGTTAGATTGTGCATCAAAAACTTTATCGAAAATAAACTGCAATTCTTTGTTTTGTTTTCTGAGTAAATCTCGACCCCTTTGAGCAACACCATGATAAAAGAAAGGATTTGCTTCTTCCTTGGGATCGAAAATTATCATCTTCTCGTCAACAACTTGTATGATGGTTCTACAACTGCCCTGTAATTCACGGTCATTCTGTGGTCGAACTCTTACAATTACTTTGATACTTGTTTGCGAACCAGATTTGACTTGTATTGATGAAGCTGTACTTCCACTTGTACTAGGTTTCGTTCCATTAACCGATACTTGTTTCCTCGGAATCTTGTTAATTTTATTAGGCGAAAATGCTTTCGCCACATTTCTCTTGTTAAACATTATAGCAAACTCTACGAATTCACATTGAAACACCCATCACCGACCGTTGACGGTAAAACAAGTTTTGAAATTTAAATTGGCGTACAGTCCAATTGCTTTGAAATCAGTTGCACCAACCTATGCCACTTCATAGCAATGACAAAGAATAGAGATACAACAAGAGGCGATACTCGGAGAGAGAAATCACTTTTCGACAGAGACAAAATCAAAGAGGAGATGGAGAACTGTTAACACGGGTTTAGCTCCCCTACATCTCGTAAGAGTACTCTGAAAGCAGTTTTAATTCTCAGATTTTGTAACAGGTGGCATTCACAGCGTTATTAAGTGTGACTAATTCTAAGTGGGGTAGTGGAGTTAGTCAGGGTTAGTATTGTACATATTTTGTATAGAACAGTGGAAACATTAGTTATTTTAATCATTATTTAATTAATTTTAAGTTGCAATATGGCATTTAATGTTCCCTATGTACTTGGATGATATGATGCAGAATTATACCATCGATTTTCAATCCCAGTGCAGATATGTCTATATCAATGGATGGATGAAAGTAAGTATGTAAATAGTGGATTCTGGCAAATAAAAAGTTATTTAATACGGATCTTTTCCGAGTATACAGGAGTGTTGTGTGTGTCATAAACATTTTACAATTGATGATAAATCCTCTGATATATCTCTGAGACGGATAGTAATACCAGCTCAAAAATGATAACACGTTAAAGATATGAATTTTCAATGTTATAATTAAACTATGTAATTAGTTTTTTGTACGCGAACACAACAACCTGCACAATTATTTTTATTTTATTATTAGTAATTCTATGATATATGTATATTGCATATATTTTAGGGTTTCGATTTATTTACGAAACTAATCTGACCAGTTGCTGCATTCTTTGATACCAATTTTCAAGAAAATAAAACTTCTGTATTTCAATTAATTTGAGAGACACGTGGCTGAATATTAACATGCGTTCATTATTTAATTACTCGCAATAACGTGTAAGTAAATTCATAGGCAGTAAAACTATTCATACTCCCATATAAATTATAAATATGTAAATATTAATAAAAGCGGTGTATATATTCTCCCACATGTAGATTTGATAAAGTATTTATGAAACTACATCTATTCTGAATTTATCTGTTACAAATATACAAATGTAAGGCAAGATATAAAACAAATAAAACAAGAACATGTAAAAAGTAACATTAATAAAATGTCCATTAACGATGCATTTAGAATAAATTGTCTTGTAGATAAGTGAAAAAATATATACTTTTCCGTTCCATGTTTCATGACTGTCATATTTATCCCTTAACCTTATAAACTGAAGCACCGGATATTTTTATTCCCGCCAAATCATATAGATACCCGCAATATGTATGGAATATATAACACTTCATTTGTGCTAATAATACTCAGAATTCATGCTTTATCGCTAACGTCGGGTATTGACACTAAAATGGTAACAGGGTTACGTAGCCCTATGAACGTGGGACAGAAAAAACCATTGGATGATAGGTCTATTCCTACGATCGTCTATTAATACGAATTTTGAAACGCCCGCCATTGGTCATAGAGTAAGCCTACATCTCGGTAGAGTAGAGGATGCTAATGTCGTGTTAACAAAATAATGTATTGAGGGGAACACCCTTGGCAATGCGTACGTCGGGGTTTTTTTATTAATAACTCATTAACCATTTTTTTTTTTTTTTTTTTTTT